GCAGATGTGCAGTCCCCCAGCTGCAGCCCCACCGCAGTCGTCTGGCACCCGCAGCACAGCAGCACCATCGCCTACGGTACACTTCCCATCATGCACTGCTCACCATGTCTGTCTGTGTGTGTGTGTGTGTGTTTACCTGAGGTGTGTGTCTGATTTGTGTGTATAAGTCTGAAGTGTGTGTGTTTACATGATGTAGATATATATCTGACTTGCCTGGTGTGTGTGTGTGTCTGGTGGGTGTGTTTCTCGTGTGTGTGTTTGTGTTTATCTGGTGGGTGTGTGTGTGTTTGTGTATCTGATGTATGTTAGTGTGTTTTCAGAAGTGTGTTTCTGGCGTGTTTGTGTGTCTGTGTGTGTCTGATATGCGAGTATGCAGTATGCGCTTATCTGACTTGTGTGTTGTGTGTGTGTGTGTGTGTGTGTGTGTGTGTGTGTGTGTGTGTGTGTGTGTGTGTGTGTACCGATGCGAGTGGCAGGTTTGTCTTTGCGTTGGTCCCACAGCAGCAGCCGTCCGTCCTGCAGGAGACACACAGTTACACACTGATATCAGTATTGTGTGTGTGTTTATCTGACAGGTGTGTGCATGTGTGCGTGAGTGTCTGTTGTGTCTAAGAGTGTGTGTGTGTGTCGTTTCACTGACCTGAGCACAGGACAGGAAGAGAAACTCGTCAACTGGAGAACACGACACACCACTGACCGGCTGAGAGTGAGCTGAAACACACACACACACACACACACACACAGTTGCCAAACATTTGAAGAACACACACACGTACATGTTTTAATCATTAACGAGTGACACACAGATTCAGTCATTTGCATATGGACTTATTAGCATACTGCTGAGCTGCTGCTGTGTGAGGGGTCAGTAATGGTTGACATATAAACACAAGTGTTCATCAGTGTGTTCATCTGTGTATATAGTTAAAGTCTGCTCACCATTGTATGAGTTGATGACGGTCTCCTGATTCAGATCCCACACTTTGATCCTGAAATGAGAGATGGAGAGAGATTAATGAGATTGATAAACGCACGCGCACACACACACACACACACACACACACACACACACACACAAAGAGTGATAGAGAGAGCTCCCCCTGCTGACCTGCAGTCTGCACTGCAGCTGACAGCGGTCCGTCCGCCAACGCACGCGCTCACCCCCGTCACCACATCACCATGTTCCTGCCGACTGAATCTGTTCACCAGCAGACGCTCGTCCTCCGCCAGATCCCACAGCTCCACTGAGCCTGAGCCGGAAACACACACACACACACACACACACACACACACACACACACACACACACACACACACACACACACACACACACACACACACACACACACACACACACACACACAAGTTAAAAACGCATCAAAAACAAACGTGATCACAGTAGTGTTGTCACGACACTAAAATTTGATACCAAGCAGTACTGGAATTTAAAAAATGTCTATTTCCCGCCAAAATCCGAGTGTGTTTTGAAACAGCGCTGATTGGCCATTGTGTTTAGGTGCTCAACAGAAATGATTGTGATTGGCCCTGAAGGTCATCAGTTCACCAAACTCACCGCTGTTTACTTAGTGTAACCACAGAAACAGGAACACTGGAGCGTTTCAAAGCTGTGATGAGCAGTCGATTCATCAGCGGATCACTCGTAAAGGACATTGTAGTTTTTATTTATTATTATTACTACCCCTGCATATATATATATATATCATGTGTATGT